TTCTTCATGGGAAAACATGTCAGCAAGACTTCCATGTTCTGCATATTCGGTGACCATACAGACGTGACTGGGGATGTAACACGCTCCATAGAAGTGGATGATATAATCACTTCTGAACTTGTCTAACATCGCAACTTCTTTAGTGAATTCATCTATTGCACTCTTTGTGGCTTGTGTATTCTTCATCTTCTTGATTGCTACTGTTTTGCCTCTGTAAAGTCCTTTAAACACAATACCAAAAGATCCTTCGCCAAGTTTCTTCTCTTCTAGTAACTCGTGGTAGTCTAATTTGGTGGAGTTCTTTGTTGTTGTTTGTACTGTAATCTTCTCGTTGTATTGTACACCAGTTTCTATATCCAATCCAATGACCATTATACACTCTTCTATACGACATGAACATAACGGTTTGATGAAGATCTCAAATTCACAGGCTTCTCCTTTCTTTAAGGAAATCAAAGTCGGCACTGATCGTATTTCGTAATGGTCACACCCTTCAATAACACTGAACTGTACTTTCATATTGTGTTTTGATTGATTGCCGATACATATCAAGTCTCTAGTCTCTTCATCGACTGGAATGGGATTGTCGTCATTTAAATTGAATTTAATTGACTTCTTATTCGACGATAGCACTGAATTGATTTGAACCATCTCGATATTCGATCGCTTCATTTCAAACACACAAATGTTCTTCATTTTCTTTTTTTCTTTCTTCTTCATAATGATAAGGAATACAACGACTAACACTATTGCTATGAGTATAATAAACACTATAAATACAGCGACAGGTATCCCAATAACAACACCATAATTTGTTTTGTACACACAACTCTCACCATCATCTGATGGTCTGTTACTGCCTTCACAAGCAACACATTGTGAGTTTTCTGCTTGGATACAATGTTGAATTGTAGTGTAATGGACACACCTTCCTTTAACCAAAACATGATCAGTTCGACACGTTTCACACATGTTACCGTTTCTACATGTCAAGCAATCATTTTCACACACAAAACAACGACCGTTTTGTAAGTAGAAGGATTCTTCACATAGAACACACCCTTCTGATGTCGATTTTGTGCAATTGTTGAGTGTAGAATTCGATAAACACAATTTGGTCGACTCTGTAGATATTTTAAAGTACCCTTCTTTACACGACAAACACTCATCTTTCTTCACACATTCATGACAAGAACCGTCACACTCTTTACAGTCTTTTTCGGTCTTGTAATAACCTTTTTTGCATATTGCACATCCTATTCCAGAAGGCAAAGAAATTTCACATCTTTTGGCCAAATTTCCAAGCGTCTGACACTTCATAAACGAGTCAAGAAAATGCTCAGAAGAACACGAAGTGCAATATGAAGAATTGAAACAACTCAAACAGTCATTCAAACACTTCACACAAATAGTATCACTCAAAAAATAGCCATCATAACACCGTTGACATCCTTTGTTGTTTCTTATTTGACACTCAACCATTTCTTGTGTTTTTAAGTCGCCTTTTAAACTATTAAACGCTTCAGTCTGGTTCTCTTCTTCAAATGTTTCATCGTCAAATGTTTCTGCACAAATCCCATTTTTGAGACTATATGCGTTGAGACATTCAATGCACTTTAATTGATTTGGAGAGTAATATTTACAGCGTAATTTAGTATCTGTTTTGGCACAAAACTCGTACTTCCCTTCAACATTTTTGCCGTCTATTTGGTAAAACTCTTCTTTACATTGTGTACAACCACTATGACTCGAACTCATGCAGTTCACCAATTCCTTTGCAACGCATTGGTTATCAGAATACATTAAATGATTTGCGGAACACATTTGGCACTTTCCACCAACACAAAGTGCACAATTATCATTCTTACACTTCGTGCACTTCCCTTTGGAAACCTCAAAGTTGTCATTATAACATTTGACACACTCGTTGTTTTTAATAGAGGCACAATTTGTATCATCGGAACACAACGAATCTTTTAATGTGAAAATATAGTTTGGTTTACACAAAAGAGAAAGGGACAAATTGTTTATGTTGGTACATATCATGGTCTTTGAATCACAGTCTTGACATTTATTATCGACTGTAAGATATTTCCCAGTTTCACACATATAAACGATTTGATTTCTTATTACTTCATTTGTTGTTACACCAACACATTTCTCTTCGTTTAAGATATTATTATCTTGACATGAAATGCAGCTGGTGCTTTGTTTGAAGGATTGTTGATATTTACATTTTGATAACATCTCCATGCACTTCGAATTTGTAGAAATTTGAGAGGAACAGTCACATGAAGTCAACGAGAGAGAAGAATCAGATTCACAATTTGAATCAACAACACAACTTCCATTTGATAGAAAAGCATCTTTACCACATTTGATACAGAAAGTATTGTTTGTTGGTGAATAACAACTGTTATTTGTGTTGATACACACACCATTTTGTTTATCATTAAGTTCCCCACTTCCACACCAGTCACACTTCCCATTTTTGATTGCAAAGGGATAAATACACTTGGTGCACTTCGCTTTTCCTACAGAAAGTGTGTCGCAAAGATTACACTTTTCAATGAAGTTGTAACACTCCCCACATTTGGTTTCACTCTCTTTGAAAAAGCCAATTGGGCAACTTTCACACATTCCATTCTTTTGAATGTAAGGATCTTGACATGTTAAACAATACATATTACTCGGAGAACACGTTTTACAGTTGTCTATCGTGTTACATTCAACACATTTATTTGAAGTGATGTCTGGGTAATAATTGGTGTTGCATAACGTACATTTACGAGTAAAATCTGAAGAACAAGATGAACAATTTGAATCAAAAGACGAACAAGTGGCACACTTCTTATCTTTTGGATCATTAAATATATGATTTGAAGAACATCCGGTGCAAATACCAGAAAATGTTTCACACTGCGAATCACATGTAGTATCACAACTTTTACACGCCCCACTTTGTTCATCTGGATACATCCCAGGCTTGCATTTTTTACACTTTCTTTCATCAGTTACACACTCCACACAGTTGATATCAAAGTCTGTACATATGATGCATTGAAGCGATGTTGTGATATTTGGAACATATCCAATTTTGCATCCAACACACATTCCAGTTATCGTGTCACACTTTCCACCACATGTTTCATGGCATTGTTGACACTTCATATCACCAACAGTTTTTGGATAATACCCCGACTCACAGTTGTTACATTTTCTCTCAACACCTCCCGGACACTCCACACACTTTGTGTCATACGTTTTACAAGTGATGCAACTTGATGAAGGTGGATTTGATAAAACGTAATTTGCATTACATGAAGTACAATATCCAGTTGTGCTATCACAATTATCTTTACATGTCTCATTGCAAAGTTCACACTTTCCACTTTGACTTGGTTTGAATGTCGGTTTACAGCTTGTGCACTTCCTTTCAAAAGTAGATGAACACCTCTCACAATTTGAATCAAAAGATGTGCAATTTTCACAAACATAACTTGTCGAATTAATGAGAACAAAATTGTCAATACATCCTAAGCAGTAGCCAAACGAAACATCACAAATTCCATTACATGATGAATCACATGGCTCACACATTTTACTCTCGTTCGATTGTAATACAGGGTAATACCCAGACTCACATTTCGTGCAATTTCGTGATGAATCACTCGCACACAGCGAACAATTCGAATCGAATTTTTTACACTCTTCACACTTTCCACTGCCTTTTTCCGTTTCAACCAGATTGTATTGGCACGTTGTGCACTTCCCTGTAACTCCATCACAGTTGTCACATGTCGACTCACATGGTATACAAATCCCATCTTGAGCATAGTTATTGTTTTTACACACTTGGCATGTTCCCAAACCCAATTTGTCACATGTCGAACAGTTGATGTTGTGTTGTTCACATGTGATACAGTTCATTCCACTCATCACATAATCATCTTGACATCCAGTGCATTCACCATTTTCTGTATTGCATTTTCCACCACAAGTCGAGTCACAAAGAATGCACGTCCCATTGGTATATGGATAATATCCATTTTTACACTTAACACACTTCTCAGCCTTATACTGATCATTACATGTGATACAATTAGTGTCATACGTTTCACATGGTATACAGACTTTTGAATCATCAGAAACAAAAACGTGATTTGTGTTACATCCAGTACAAGCACCAGTTGTCCCATCACATTTATTGCCGCATGTCGGGTCACAATCACCACACCTTCCATTTTGTTGTGGATACATACCACTTTTACACTTTGTACATCCACGAGTGAAATTTGATTCACAAAATCCTTCCATACAGTTGGGTTCGAACTCTTCACATGTTTCACAAGATGTTGAAGGTGGATCTGTGAACATATAATTAGGCAAACATGATTCACAATACCCTGTAGTGGGATTACATGCTCCACCACATGTTGTATTGCAAACATCACACACACCCAATTGAGGATAGTTTTGATGATCTTTACATGTGATACACTTCCTTTCAAAATTTTTTGAACACTTTTCACACTTTGTGTCAAATTGGTCACAAAGAATACAACTCTCATTTTGAGGGTCGTTTGGAACATACCCGTCTTTGCAAATAGTACATTTACCAGTTATGGCTCCACATTTTTGACAACCGTCTGCACAACCAACACACTTCCCTGTTATTGGGTCTGGACGGAAATCAGTCTCACACTCGTAACATTTTTTGAATGTCGTTTGACCACATTGTTTGCAGTTTTGGTCAAATTCTTTGCATGGAATACAATAAAGTCCTGGTGGGTCTGTAAATGCGTAGTTTGTTATACAAGCAGTGCATGTCCCATCACTCGTATTACACTTGTTATTACACGTTTCATTGCATTGCTTACACACCCCACTTACTTCATCTGGGTACATCCCTTCCTGACAAACTTTACATGCTCTCTTATTTGAGTAACAAGTCTGACAATTGCTATCAAAATCAGTGCACATTTGACACGTCAAAGACGGTTCATCATAAAGCACGTGATAAGCTTGACAACTATTACAAAATCCAGTTGTTGCGTTGCAATCGTCACCACATGTTGTGTCACATGCTTGACATGTAAATTGGTTTTCTTCTTTTGGGTACAACCCGAGTTTGCATTTGATACATTTTCTCGATGAATCATCAGAACATTCAACACAATTATTATCAAAGAGCGAACACAATATACAATTCTCGTCGCGTGGAGAGTTAAAAACATAATTTGTAATACATTTGTTACAAATTCCAGTTGTGCTATTACACTGACTTTCCACACAATTTACTCCACAATCAGTACACTTCCCACTTATAATGTCAGGTCTTTTCCCTTCAACACAGGTAGTACAATTTCTCTTAAAATCGTCTGAACACATTTCACATTCAGCTGCAAAAGTTGTGCAACTCTCGCATTTCAGTGAAAGTGGGTTTGTTATTACCCAATTCGTATAATTACATTTGGTGCATGTACCATCTCTTGGATCACATTCAGCACATGAAGAGTCACATGGAACACAAATTATTTCATCGTTTTGTTGAGTGGGATACCACCCTTTTTGACACTCTAAACAACTTCTTGTATTGTCATTTGTACACTGCACACAATATTCATCAAATTGAGCGCAAATTTCACATGTTTGTTGTGGTTCTTTAAATGGAACATACCCTTCGTTACACAACAAACAAATTCCAGTTGTTCCATTGCAATTTTGACTACAAGATGTGTCACATTGAATACATTGACCTCCTTCACTGTTTGGTTTAAATGTCTCTTTACAATTTGTACAATTACGAACACCACCTTCTGCACAAACTTCACAATTTTGATCAAATAAGAAACATGTCTGACAAGTCAGAGAATCTTTGTTGAGCACCAAAACATAGCCAGGTGCACATGAAGTGCAATATCCAGTTGTCACATTACACTCGCCACCACATGTTTCATCACAATCAACACATTTAAACGGATCAACATTTTGTGGGTAAGTCCCTTTTTGGCATCTAATACATGACCGTAGTTTTTGTGAGCAAGTTTCACAATTCTCATCGAGTGAAGAACATGGGTCACAGTCAATTTGAGATTCTTCGGCTTTTTTTGTATAATTTGTTGCACAAATGTTACATGTTCCAGTTTGAACATTACACCCTTGTGGCGTACACGTTGAAGAACAAGGAATACATTCTCCTGTTACAGAAGGGTAGTAGCCCAAAACACATTCACGACATTCTCTTTTGGATGTTGAAACACATTTGGTACAATTTGAGTCAAATGTTGAACACGTTTCACACTCGACATCACTCGACAAACTAAATACATAATTCGGTTGACACACCAAACACCTTGCTTCATAATTTGAACAGGTAGCACATGAATCTGGGCATTGTACACAACTCCCATTCATAAGGTAATGCCCATTCGAACAATTAAAACACCGTGTAGCATCACATTTGTCACAATTTGATTGACATGACAAACATTCATTAGAGTCTAAATAAAACCCAGAGAAGCACGTTTTACATGATAATAGAAAATTGCAAGATGAACATCCATTGGGACATTTTTTACAAACACCATAAAATGGATAATCTTGATCAAATGAAAAGGATAAGTAATAACCTTCTTTACAAGCATCACACATATCCGAATCAATACAAGTTAAACACCCTTCATTACATGTATAACAATGACCATATGATTGATAATACCCAGACACACACGAGTAACACCGAATATCACCATCTTCACTATCACAGCTTGAACATCCAATTGGACATTCATTACATATATTGTTATTCATGTAAAATCCCTCTTTGCATTGATTACACTCTTCTAATGCAAAACAGTCATCACACCCATTCATGCAATTTGTACATCCTTTTGTAGTCATGTACTTTCCTTCTTCACATTGATGGCAAAGCCTGTTGTAGTAATAGGGGTATGTTGGTTCACACTGTTCGCACCTTTCTTTGTTATAACATTTTAAACAACCAGTTGAACACTTTTGACATCGATTGTTGTAATCAATATAGAATCCTTGGGGACACTTGTTACATGTGCCTTCATATAAATACGGGTAGTCATAATCAAAGCATGAATCACATGACCAAGCATTGGAACATGTTTTGCAAATTTCATAACATTTGTTACAAAAATCAAAACTGGTTTTTGTTAAATAATACCCGTCTTTACATCGAGTACACTTTCCAGGACTATCTTTTGGGCTTGAAGATGGATTTAAACAATTTTTAACATAACAATTTTTAGAGTCATCAAGATAATTTTCATTTTTAAATCCACACCACCAACGTTTGCCATCGTCCTTTGAACAACGAACAGTATTTGGCGAACTACTTTTATAATAAGGGCTATACCCATCTTTGCATTTTTTACAACTTCTTGAGTCTAAACATTCATAACAATTTGATCGCCCACAATCGGCCGTCTTTAATTGAGAAATATTGTTTGGACTTGAATACAAAGTGTTCAAAGCAAAGACCTCTGTACTAATTATCTTGTTAATTATAATGTAGCCATTCCGTTTCACTATTAGAGAGGTGTTATTCAAAGACATATTCAACATGTTGGTTGTTTGAGAAATGTCAATGTTGAGTATTGTTGTGTTATAACATGAAATATCAAATTTCTCGTAGTTATAATTATGTAACTTTAGAAAAACGTCATTTTGTTCAAATAAAGAAGTGTTGCAATTGGTCACATTATCAGAAAAGCACTGGATTACCCCGCGCTCCCAACACCACTGGAGTGCAAGGGATAATGATAACAACGTAAATATCAACACATACATTCAAATAATAAAATTATCGCATTTAAAGTTAAGGATTTATTCTTAAAACAAGGTGAACAATTTGAATCTATTTTTATTACTTTGAATTTAATTCAATTGTGAGAGAGTGACTATAAATACTCAATTATTTCCTGTGAAATGGGGCAATTTACTTTGGACTTGTAATTATTCTTATATTTCAAAACTAAAAAACCTTTTCTAAAATTCGTTTTTCTCACTATTTTATTTTGCCAATGGAAACTGTGTAAGAATTAAAAAAGTTAGTGTTAATATTAAAATAAATATCAAATTAGGGAAAAAATGAGAGTTTAGTATTTTTCCTAATAAAAAATAACTAAAAACTTAAATGTAAATCATCTAGAATTTTTTTTTGGTAACGAATAAATCAAAAAAAACAGCTATCCAGACAATTGATTTGATATCAATTAAACCTGAAATGTTATTATTAAACAAAAATAATATTATAGTTATGACTTAATATAATAAAACCAATTAATTATTATTGTTTTACTATTATAATAATAACAGACTTAATTTAGAAATTGTTGTTGATTTTTATCTGTATTGATTAGCAAAAGATAAATAAATAAAGGTTAGAATGTAAAGTGTTAAATAACGTTATGCACTTTGGACTTAATGGGCAGTGATTAAATACTTTTGAATACAAAAATGATTCAGTGGTAAGTTTTTCTCCACTTCAAATACATGTTTTGATCGAAAACAAAGAGAGTTACTATCTCTTCGTCACAATCTTAAGTTATAATTAAAGTCTGAGTCTTTATAAAAAACGTCCATTATAATGAATTAAGATTCAAACCATTTATAATAGACGTTTTCTATTAAAAATATTTCTATTATAAAACAATAGTTTTATTATTAAAGAAATATAGTTCAATGCTCGATATAAAAACCTGCGAGACAAACTTCAAAAACCACACCATGAAAAAAGGAGCCAAATTTCCGACCTTAAAAACAAATGAGAAAGTAGGACGACGTGAGTGTGGGTGTTTTGGTACCGAGCACCGTGCAGCGGCGAATTGTCAAAGTTGTGGACGGATTCATTGTTCCGAAGAGGTTCCTGGCAAGTGTCTTTTTTGTGGTGAACGTCTTGAAATTATACGAAAGCCCGAAGGGTATGACGAAGCCCAAGAAAAGATGGACATGTTGCTCTACTTCCAGCAGACACAAGCACAGCGTTCAGTAGTTCGAGACATGGCAGGTGAAGACCCTATGAAGCTTGACTTATGGTTGAAAAAGCAACCAAAAAAGCCTCAACGACAGAAGAAAGAAATTTCTAAGAAAGTTCTTTATGGAAAAAAGGTGCAGTACCAGAACGATGATTCGTTTAATGCAGATTTCATGGAAGAGGACGACATTGGTACTGCTCAAGTATATAACATCAACGTGAAGAAGAATGTTGATACACTCGCAGAAGACGCAGACTACGAGGATTAATGTTTTTATAACTTTGATTTAATAGTTCTGTTTGTAATTGTTTATAGTTTGCTTTTTTTATTAAATAAATACTATAATATTTATTATAAAAACAATTATAAAAATTTAAAAAAATTAACTAGAATTTATAGTAAAACTCAATTATAGTTAATCGTCGCTCAAGTCATCATCCGACGAGTTACGCTCCTTCGAGAAAATTCCTCCGCTGAATTTAGTGTGTTTCTTTTCTCTTGGGTCGGCCTTCAATGTTGTTTCAACAGCTCCAACTCTGGAGAGAGCCCACTCCAAATCTTATAGTTAATTTTATGTTACTTCTAGTACAGCAAATAATGATATAATACATATATTATAATAAATTATATTTATTAATACAACAATTGATACTGATTTGAATAAATAACAATATTATAATATATAGTACAGTAAAAACAAACCGTCGCAAGTCATGAAATTTCCACCGAACTCTGCCAAGCCGATGAATTGTTTGACATGGTTAGTGTTTCTGTAGACGATAAGAGTAGGGAGGAGTTTGTCTGGGTAGTTAGGAATAGCAAGGTGACTAAGAATCTTCACGAATTTGGTTGCTCTCTTTTTGACTGCCAACTCTGCGAGTCTTGTTTCTAATATTCTGCAAGGCTCAATCCCATTTTTGTATAATAAGACAACAACAAAACATTGTTTTGAAGCTTCTGTGACCTCCGTCTTATACTCCCCAGCAGTCAGTTCAGTGACTTCTTTATATTTGTTTTTCTCTGCTTGTGCTTTTAACTGTGCGATTCGTCGTTCTTTGATTTTCTGAAGTTCTTCGTCACTGTCATCATCTTCGAGTAACTCGTCGACTTCTTCCAACGTTTTTCCTTCATTTGGGTCTATTTGTTCGACGGGTTGTTCTCTATTCCTGAGTATTTGTCTGTATTATTTTAATATTAGTAATTATTAATTAAATAAACTAAACTGCATTATATTGAATTTTATTTAATAATTAACTATTAAAAGCTTTTATTTATAAATGATGTAACAAAACCACAAACTTGTATAATATGTTCCCTTGGTCATATAACTTACGCTCTTCCTCAGACATAGCACTTTTGTTGACTTTGTTAATTGCATCACTCCACTCAGTCGTCTCACGCTTGCGTACAATGCCGTTCACAAGTTGTTTCTCGACTGAATTCATGCGGTTTATTAATTTTGAGTTGGATTTTTTACACCACCTCCAATGGGAAGTTGTTCATATTCTTCAAGGAGGCGGTAAATAGTTTTTTATAGTTCTTTTATTACTTCTTGCTTAGTTGTGCGCAATTGTCTCCAAAATACGCAGCTAATGCATTACGTCACCATTTGTGTACCAAACAGTATATTTTTCCCTCTTAATTTATCATTTTTTATCACAATTTCAGCACTTAGTGTGTTGAGTCAATTTGGTGATATTTTGGTAAATATAATTTAGCGTCGAGGTGTTTCTATTTGGAGTTTTACTGGCAATATTATCTTATTGGTTAAGTGTATGAACCACAAACCATTAATTTTGTTATATTTATTCGATAATGCCGAACACCAGTTTTAAATAACTAATACAAATTCTATATATATAGTAAAAAACAATTAAAATGGTATTATTCAAAATATAATAAGAAAGTTAAGGTTTTGAAATAGTAAAATCCTTGTTTTGTGAAAGCACCTCAAAAGCAGTTTGAGCTTGCTCGACTGTTTCAAACGAGACGTAATATGCAAATTTCTGAGACGGAAGTTCTTTTATGCGGCCCACCTTTCCATTTTGTTCACAAAGAGCTTTGACGTCGTCAGTGGTTAATGTCTCGTTGTGTGAAATAATCTTGATAATGGGAATGTATTTGTGTGGAGTTTTACTCATTGAGTTTTATAGTTTTATTTTTAATTTGTTATACTATAAAATATACTACAGAGCTTCACATACCAGTAACCATTTTAAAACTATAATATACTAATATAATAATTATATAAAATATTCTGGATTGAACAATTTGAATTGTTTTTGGTATTGTTAAGAAAAATGTACCATACAAATTAGTAAAATAATAGTATAAACATAATACATTTTATCATCTAATTTAAATAAATACAAAGATGAACTAGAAACCATATGTCTACGAGTGAAGAGTCTGAGTTTACAATAGCACCAAAACTGACTGAAGATTCGATATTACTTTCAGAGTCAAATGTTTCTCTTTTTAGTAATAACCGAGGGTTTGTCAGTCTTGATGATGACGTTCTTCGTAAAATTCTAAGTAATTTGGACCTCTTTTCGTTCCTACGAGTGACAATGACATGTAAACGAATGAATCGATATGATGACGACATTGATATATGGAAAGAGATTGCCGGTGTTTCCAATGCGCCGGACGTTGGGTCTTGTTTTGATGAATTTATGGAGAAGTATGGTGAGTCATATATTAACAAACAAATTGGTATGAGTAACACAATAACATTTATAACAACAACTCGAATGATTTTCAATAATGTTTTTGTCGAATTGTTTTGCTTAATTTGTTCAATCGTCTTCTTCTCATTTTTTAGTGCAAGTTTTATCCATGAAAATCCACTCTATGGAATATTACTGATACCGTCTATATTATTCTATGGTGGATTACCTTTCATAGAAGTTATGTGGGTGAGGGACTTAGATAAACTGAACGCGTACAATCACTTAAGACAGGTCTATAAATGTATTTCGTGGTATGGGATTTTGATACAATACGAACTCTTTGATAAAAATGGAGTTGTCAACACCTTACTCAGAAGCTCAGTAATATTAGTGATAGGTTTTGGAGTTTTTTTGTGGTCGATAAAGTCAACAAGGAGCGCAGTTATCCCTGGGCTTGTATTGCTTGTGTTGTATAGTTTATTTTCTAGTTTTAAATGGTTCAGAAAAGTTAACGAAGGTCGAGTTCGGTTGTTCCAGTTGATTTTTTACACTCCAAGTGCTGTTATATTGAGTTTTGGTCTTCTACTACGGTTTTCTAGTAACAAAAAAGATTTAAGCGATTGGGTTATGATTTGTGGGACTATCGTGGCGATTTTTTTCCGTGTTTCTCATTCCATTGGAATATTGTTTTGTTCCTCAAATATCAATTTAGTGAAATACACCCGTGGGTGGTTCTCAAAACGATATTTACTTTTTAAAGAAGACGAATCGTTTGGTTTCGTTCTTTACAATTTTATTTCTTTGTGTTGTAACTTTTTACTTGCACTTGCGTTTTGTTTCGAAATATGCGACTTCCAAAACACGTTTTATATTATTGTTGCATCTACAATTCTTGTCTATTCATTCCTTTCTGTTTGTGCTGCACGTTCAGTCGTTTATGTAAATTCTCACTAATTCATGCATTTTTATTGTATTATATTATTACTATTAATTATAATAAATTAATACATTACATCAAGATAATTGATTAGATTCTTAACAATAAATTATAATAGAAATTTAAAAAACGCCATCAAGATTTTTTTTATTTTTACTCTTAAACTCGTTTATAGTTTTTCAGCAAATATTAATAGTTTTAATTTAAATTACAAACACTAATTAAATTAATCATCAATTAATTAAATAACTATAATTATTTTATTAATTATAGTTATTTGTATACAAAAAAATAAAAAAAACTTGTAACTAAAAAAGAGACCAAAACGAATGAGCACGTCGTCTAGAAAACAAATTCTTTCATATATAACTGATTATAACGACTTTGACGTTTGGGAATGCGTAGCTAAATGTGAAAATGAAGGTGATCTTGACGCCATATCCGGGGAATTAAAAGATTACCAAACGAAAAACAAAGACGCTTTAGTAGAACTGATAAATTCTCGTTTTGAAGAACTTGTCTTTCTTTCCAAAACGTTATCCGAGATCAAGGAATTAACCAATGAGATTAAATATCCGATGATGGTTTTAGAGAAGTCGACAACGGAGCAGATTCGGGCAATTCAAGATCGAATATCAAAACTCATAGAAACCCTCACACTCAAGTACAAAACAGAAGAGCAAAACGAAAAGGATAAAAATGAGCAAAAAATCACACGCTGTTATGACAGACTTAACAAAAATTTGGAAAATCCCAAAAGTGCAGAACAACTCGAAGTCGCATGTTACCAGTTAGAGATGGTTAAATATTTAGTTCACACCTTCGAAACAGCAAATTGCTCTGTTGAGATATCTAGTTTGTTTGAACTATACTTAATACTAGTCTTTTTACTATAAAATAGCGTCGATGGTACAGACAAACAGACTCATGGCACAGAGACTTTTGGTGATCTTGGAAATCGCCTCCACGCACTTATCGACCAGTTTTTGCTTGATGCGGTGACTGCGCAGAATCAAAAAGTGATTGACATATGTACCAATTGTTATGGCTTACTTGGAGAGATGGAGATATCGCAACCTTCATTACAGAAATAATGTTATTGATTCAAAATGTTATTCATGAACTAACACAAAACTATTAATTTGATAAATTTACTACATAGCATCTATTGTTCGCTCGACTCAAGCATTATTCCTTTGTTTTGGGGATCGGAGTCTTCGTGGTGTTTAATAATAATTTTCTCTCTCTTTTTCACATTCTTTGGAGTCTCTATAATGTCTTCGTTTTGATCGGTGATACAAAAAGACCGACTTTTGTTCACTCCTTGCTTCTGTTTGGGAGGAGTTATCATACCACTCTTCGAAAAGAAGTTCAGATGACTCTTCCCATCTCCTTTGCCACGACTGGATGACCTTGAGGACGACCTATCTTCGCGAAGTGCTGAGTCAAACTGAGCACATGGTTTAAACAATGTTATGTCGTTGTCGACCATTTTCAGACTCTCGCGAACGACAACACCGCATTGGTCGAATGGGAAGAGTTGTTTCTGAAGTGTCGGGTCGAACTCGATTTTACGACGGAGTTTAATGATTTGAATGAATTGTGAGATGTCGAGGAGATGGACGACGGGAGTTCGTTGTTTAGTTTTAGGGATGGACTCTGTCGAGAAGTATTCGACAGTAGCCGCCATCACTTTTAAAAACTTGTCAAGACAGACTTCTAAATTGTCGAAAATGGTGTTTTCAATCACAACAAGAAAGCCATTAATAGTTTCACGTAAAGCCCCGAGAGTCATGACATAGATTATAGAGACGTGAATAGTGACTACTTGTACCAAATCGAAGAATGTTTCTGTTGTATAGATACCTTGATCTGCGTAATCGCAAGAGCATAATAAGAGGAGCATGTCTTCGAGTGTTTCTGTCTCTTAGTTTTCTTATAAATAAATAATAGAATTATTTAATAACTATATATTATTAATATATATAGTTATATATTACTAGATATATATATAGTAAAATGAATTAATTAAATATAATTAAATAAACAAACGAAAGAGATAAAAGAAGTTAAATTGGTACTTCACTTCATACATTAAACTCCACACATAGTCTGGATCCAATTTTCTTTCTTTCTTCCCAAGTGTTATATTATAATCAATGTACTGCGATAAAGTTAATATAAAGATATTGGACTCGGATGTTATTTTGCGATATAACGTTTCAAAGGGTGCCGAGTATTGAGAAAACGAGAGAACAAAGAGTGGGTTGACTTCCGTGAGTAAAAGTCGTAAAGAGAGATATACAAAGTTGGTGTATGACTTCGGGGTAAATGGTTTATTAAAACGCTTCAGTAATGCTTCTTTGACGGAGTTTGGATATTGTAGTGTCAGTTCGATCACTTTTTTAACGTGTTTCTCCTTAACACCTTTAAGATCGTCTCTACAGCATTTCTCGACTTCCACTTCTATGGGAGAAAGTTTGTAGAATGATATCTTTTCTTTGAAGGAAGACATATAATATCTATAAAAGAGTTCTTTAACTCTTTGGATTTGTTTGAGTCTCTAACACACCAACTTATTAGAAAATTATCTTATCGACTTTTTGGGAGGAAAATTGCGAAATTTTTCAAGTGTGTTTTTTTGTTTTTGTTGTGTGCGTTTCAATAAACAATAATAGTTTTTGTAGTATTTAATATTAATTAATTATAATTTAAATATAATACATTCGTTTTGAATTCTAAAAATGTCTTTTTAAACGGTTATTTTAACCATTTAAGATATAATACTAATAAATACTACTTACTTGTACTAGACATTGTATTGTAAAAAAACTATATATAGTATAGCATTCAAAAAACGGTTTATTAATACAAATGGTATTTTTAATTAGTGAAATAATATCATTTAACTATTAGTTCTATAGTTAATTGATAGTAAAATAATTTATCAGTTCAAGTAGATTAAGACTCAAATTTTTTTAAATAAAAAATAAAAATTGCCAAGAAAAACAAAAAAGGGTTTAGTTAGGTTTTCCAAACTGATAAACTCAATGAGTGACAAATCTATTGTGACCAGCCTTCTGAATAATAAAGTTACTTACATTTGTTCGAGTTTGTATTACACCTGTTGTGTCGAGTTGGTATTGAGCATGAAGCAATAACAAATAGAGTGTGGACAAGAATGTGAGTTCAAAGTCGGTCAAGAGAACCTCGCCTGTTTCAGTTGCGGCGCAAGAATTTTGTACAAAAAGCGGACAACGGAGCGTTTGTTATTTCCATCACCCCACTACAATATCGCTAACAATCAGCAGTCGAGTACGAGGCAAGGTAATGCAAAAACTCTTTGATTTGATTCGTTTTAGTGTTTTCTGTTTTTCATTTCAATAACATTTTGTAAAAATGTTATTTATTTTTAATGGACGTTTTAAAAACTTTGATTTCGCTCATTTTTGAGTAAAATGTGGAAAACTTGGTGAAACGATTGGTGGAACCGAAAAATGAAGCATTATGATTGTCAATGTTGATTTCTCCATTTTAAATGCTATAAATTATAGTTTGTTGTATTATAATAAATAATACTGGAATATTATTGCTCCCCTAACAAAAAAAGGTGTTTTTTGTTTACAATCGATTTGGATTTCAAAAAATGAACGTCGACATTTATTTATTATTAAATATGGTAATAATGTTATTAGTTACTGTCAAGTGAAGAAATGCACCTTTTTTGAGAAGAACAAACAAACAATTGCAAAAAAAATATAAGGGGTGGAATAACGTTTTTAGAAAAATATGTTTTTAGAATAACAATTATTTACACTTTGTTGTATTATATATTATGATTATATGATGGTTTGAATGTGATACAATTTGATGAGAAGAATCCACAATTTATTTATAATTTCTTTTCAATATATTAATAATATCATAAAATGGAGATTTTTTAACGATAATGCCGAAAAATACATTAGAAAAAGACACAAAAATCACATCACGTTGTTTTCGTTATCGCTCATTTTCCAAAACGATCAAAACTTAAAAAAAAGGTTGGGTGATTTTCTTATTTTATTTAATAGCAACCATCTCAGCACTTTTTGAAAAAAAAGTGAAATAACTGACGAATGTGGTCAAAAGTCGCCGTTATTGGCTTCCCCAAAAGTAGACACCCCATTTTTCAGTTCTATAATTCAACTTCTATTTTTATTCTCAAATGGTTCAAAAGTCTTTTTAAAACTATATTTAATAGTACATTTTGTTAGAATACTTGGTTTCATAACACGCAATAACAAGAAAACCAATTGATGAACAACAAATATATTTAGTTTAGTAAAATGTATTAAAAATAAACTACAATTCACAATAACAATTTTATGGTTGGGCTGAAAAAACGGCGAAAATCATAAGAGTACAACGTGCTGTTGTTCGGGAACTTTTGAATGAAAGAACACGAAAACCTCCAAAAAATAAAACTTGTGAATTTCCATTTTTAACGTGCAAATTCCCCATTTTTGGAGAGTTCGTATTCATTTTGAGTAAAAATAATTCGGCAAATTCGGAGTTTTGCACTGATTCATCTCTGCAAATAAGTACAAATGCCGAACATATTCCGAATGAAGACAGTGGACTCTTCAAAATAAACTCGTATGGATCTCAAAAGCACTGCGTTTGTTTATTCCAAAATTGCTCGGGGAGGGAATATTCGCTGTTCCCGAAATAGAAAAGCACATGATTCAAAAATATTGTTTAATATATTTTGATTTAAATATTGATATTCTGTGGCATAAATCGGGAAGATATGGGAACCTCCACCCCCAATTTCTTCAACTTTCTACTGTTTTATATAAGGAGAACATTATTATGAGTATTTTTGGTCATTTTGCAATTCGATGAATGCCTTGGACTACTTAAAGGAACTCCCAAACTTGGAAACATACAAATGTCCCTCAGACTTACAATGAACCTCTCTCCTGTATCACAGAACGTCTATTTTGAAACCTCCCCCGAACTTCCATCTCCAATTAGAAGTCAGACGCTCTCTCCACGAATAGGGAGTGATGCTTCGACTATCAGAAAGTCTTCTACAGAGGATTTACTGAAGAGCTTACTCTTTGCAAATCCATCGCCTTTGTTGAACGCTTATTGTGATGGGGTTTGTTCTATTCTTTTAATATATTGAGTACAAAAAAGATTGACAAATAGCTTTTACAACAAGTTCCGGTCCCAACCCACATCACGGCTTTGATGTCGTTCTTCTCCTCTCGAGGTAAATTGATCGACTTGTTGACTGTTTTGGCACGACGAGAAATCGACGGGTGCTCCGCGAATCAACTGTTTCGAGGTAATGGGGCATTCACTAAGATATATTCAAGTTTCTTGTCAACAGAAGGATCTTTTTTGATCAACTCCACCTCACAAAAACTCGTCGAGTATATCATACAAAGCGGTCTTGATAAGAAACTCGAGTCAAAAAACAATGAAGAAGTAAAGGTCATCGCTGAAACCCTTTTCTATTCATTTTCCTCGTTACTCCAAAAGCACTTTGCCGACTTTAGCGTGTGTCACAAGATGGTATTGAAGAGTTTGTATATGGAGGTTTCGCGTAAGCGCGGCGAGATTCAAGCAAAGAACGCGTTCACTACCCTCATCTTTTTGAGGTACCTCTTTGTCCCATTTATGCGCTTCCCAAATTTGCTGAAGAACTTCCAAGCCACTGTTTCGACAAGACTCAGCGAGAACACAGAGATCGGGAAAGTCATCGATAACATGTTAGAGAATATAGTGAATGTCCCATCGTTGTGTTACAGTTCTCCTATCGACCTGAAAAAACAAGAGAAAAGTCTCCAACAGATCATCAATATCATTAGAAGCGAAATGCCAAAAATCTCGAAGAAGTACGTCGGTGACTTTGATATCGTCTTTGCCGCTGTTAAATCGAAGAGAGAAGACTCCACTAATATCGACTTTGCTGCAATGGAACTCAGGTGCTGGTCGGAAGGCAAATTGGAGTCGTCAGCAAAGCTTAATGCAGAACTGAAAGCAAAGATCGAAAGCATTAAAAAGACTAACCAGATGCTGAGAAACAAAATGTCGATACTCAGAACATATTGAACATAGTTGTGAATGGTTTGAACATAGCCTTGAATGTAATTCTTGTGTTTATTTCTTGTTTTTGGTTTAATACAATAACAAGTTCTTCGAAACTTGACTTCAAACTTCTATCCTTCAATGACTTCAAAACAAATAACTTTATATATTAAAAAGTATAATACAGTCATCTTTTTTTTTGTAATACAACAACTTATACAAAAAACTATATGTATAGTACATTTTAATTACATTTCAGTTATAAATAGCTAAAATGGAGTTTTAAAAGGATAAAAACAACTGAGAAAACCGTTGGTTTATAAATAGAAAAAAATGAATCTAAAATTTATGCGAAATTTAGTCTACTTGGTGGTTTGATAATAATTTGTCAATTTTGTTCTTGTTTTTTATCCAAAAAAAGTGGAATAGTCAACTTTATAATAATTGTTTGTTAAAATTGGTATTGAACAAAGAATCAAAAAAGTATGTGATGAAGAAAAACAAAATGGAAAAGTTTGAAACGTTTGGGAAATTAATTAGTCTCAATGAGTTTGTTTTAAAAGTAAGCACTTTTTCAAAGACTTTAGCTTGGTATCAATTCTAAATTGCACAACTTGTAATTCAAGTAATGAAAACAAGATGCTTATTACACTTGGTCTATGTAGTCATTCAAACTTTTTTAATGATAACAGTGAGAAGCACTGATGTGACCGAAGTAGAGTATTATATGAAAAGTGTTTGTGGTGATGGACTAGTTGATTTGTATTCAGAAGAATGTGATGGTACAGAGGGGTGTACTGAAGACTGTCTATGTGGTGATGGGTATACTGTCAAAGCTACTGGTGGGTGTGAAAGTTCATGTGTTTTTGACGCTAATTGCTTGACTGGGTGCACCAAACCTGATTATTGTGAGATATGCAACACCACTGCGGGATACACCTCAGATTGTCAAAGTTGTCAAGACGACTATGTCTGGTTTGGTGTAGGTCGCTGCAAAAGTTTCAAAGAAGAAACGATTGATACATGTAGCGACTTTTTCTTGCGCAATTCGGCGAATCCAAATTTTACTATTTCTATTAATGCAGCAACTTTTAATGGATCGATCTACATCAACCAACCAACATTGGAGGAACAACATTTGTCTATAAATAAATGCACAAGAGAAGTCGACCAACAAAAGCCATACACATATGGATATTGGTTCAAACTAACTTCAGATTCTCGAAGAGTTATATTCATTCAAGTTGAAAAGGAGTATACACAAGAGGACAAAGAGTATGCCGAGTTCTTACAAAAAGCAGTTGGAAGTGAGTATGTGATAACTGTTCAAAAGAAGTGTATTGAAAAGCAAGAAGCCACAGATGCAAAGTGTGTTTCGATTAATCAAGGAACCACCAAGTACGTGTTATCACCACAAACTGTCATTCAAACAGAAGCCAATGTTCCATATTATATGTTTGTTCACACCAAATTTGCATCGTCTAAAATGGGAGACTTGAAATTATTCATCCGTGAAATTAAACACGTTTGTTCGTATGCTTCTGAGAGACTGTATTGGTCAGATATGTCTAAAGGAGTGAGTATCGATATATCAGAAGAAAACAGTTTGGTATCAGTTGATGTTTGTAGTACAGATTTGACCAAAGGACATTGGTTTAGGTTCACTGGTGCCGACCAAACTCTAAACATTTCGACGTGTAATTCCAAAGAGGACAAATTGAGTCTTGACTTGATATCTATTAATCCTGAAGATTATGGATATTCATTAAATGATGAACCATTGGACGTTGATTGTGTGGACTTTTCTAAGGCAAAATGTGAATTATCAAAAACAGAAGGGTGCCCCAACTCCATTCTCCCAAAAATGATTTTCACGTTCTCAAGTAAGAGGTGGTACTTCTTGTTTGTTGGAATTCACGAGGAGTCTAACGTTGAAGTTGTTTTGGATTTTGGGCTGACGTGCACTGATCAATGTGGAGAACATGGATTATGCTCATCGTACTTGGGTGCTTGTACTTGCGATGAACATTACGTTCTAAAACACGGAACATGTAGTTTATGTGGGAATGGTCAACTTGATAAAGGGGAAGAGTGTGAATTGAGTATAAATGGATATAATGACACACAATGTACTTCTGAGTGTAACTGTGTGTTTGGTACTGCTCCTATGAAAATAGATAACATCACCAAATGTGCTCTACCAACATGTGGGAATGGTCAAATTGATGAAAATGAAGAGGTTTGTATTTTATTGATAACAAAACAGTAACAGCTTAAAAAATGCTAACAGCAAGTGTGATGGTGGATTTGGATGTGATCATTGTGTTTGTTTACTTTTGTATTATTTCGTTTAAGTGGCACTCATCTTATAGCTCTGTGTAAATGGTACTCAAAGCTACAATAAATCAAGATTATATTGTTTAGTTGCTACATGTGGCAATAAGCAAGTAGATGGTGATGAAGAAGTTTGTTTACTTTCATGGTATTAAAAAAATCAGACTAACATAGAGTGTGATTCTGGAGATTTTTGTGTTGAATGTGAATGTCAAGAAGGGCATTATTACCGCCACGGTGAGGTCAGTTGCAGAGCTATTTCATACTATTTAAGTGGAGGTATGTTTATGGCTGAGATCATAGGTGGGCATTTGGTAATGGCAGCCTTATTGGCACTCTGGGCTTTTACTGCATACTCCCGACTGACAAAGAAAATACGACAAGAAATAGATGATGAGAAGTTGGTCATTTTTGAGAACACAATCATTCCCTTCGACAAGACAAATTCGCAGTATATTGACCTTAAAATGGAAAACGGGTATTTTAACTTCTCAAAGAAGGCAATTGACTTTGGAGAGAGACGCCCAGAAATCGACGAACCGTGTGAAGACGAAATAACACTGACGAACACTTGGACTGAAAATCTGCACTTCACGTTTCATGCTGGTGATTATAATAAGTATTCTATTATGTGTAAACCATTCACTGGAACAATCAAACCCAAAGAGAGTGTTGTTCTGACTATTACTTTTATTGCAAGATGCACAACCGTTTTGAATGAAAAAGTGCCCATCACTCTTCGATATGGAAAACTACAGAACATCATCAAAGAAATCAAAAAGGAGAATCCAGACTTGATTGCCCAAACATCACAGTCGTCACAGAATTCAGAAGGGGAAAAATCAAGTTCCTCAGTCAAAAGAAGAGTGTCAAATTCGGAAACAAGACCATCCACACAGACAACGACGTCCTCGTCCAAAGGACGTTCGTCTTCAAAAGACAAGTCGAGTAAAAGTTCATCAAAAAATTCATCTAGTCGAAGAAAGAAGTCCAAAGTTTCAAAGTTCCACGTTTACTTGAATTTGCAAGTGGAGTCTGCATTGTCTACTAAACTTGATTATGAAGAAATTCACTTACAACATCCGCCCATTGGAGGCGGAACATTTGGTATTGTCTACAAAGCGGAGTGGAGAAAGGTGGATGTTGCTGTTAAAGTGATGAAAAGCGACTTGGTTGATATGATGGATTTGCTTCCCAATTTTGTACAAGAAGCTGAGATGATGGAGCGTATTAGATGTCCATACATAGTCAATTTCATAGGATGTGTTATAACACAAGACACGTTGTGTTTAGTCACTGAATTCTGCCAGCTGGGGTCATTAAGAAAGTTCATGCAGACGAATCCAATATCAGACTATTTGAAAGTGAGGTTCTGTCAAGACGTTGCAAAGGGAATGGAGTACTTACATGAAAATGACATCTTGCACAGAGACTTGAAAACAGACAACATTTTGGTGTATTCTAAAAATCCACACGACCCAACTACGACGAAAATTAGTGACTTTGGGACATCTAGGTCTTTCATCGAATCTTCAAGCAAAATTGCGTTGCAGAATATTGGTACGCCGGTGTATATGGCGCCTGAAATTTCAAGAAAAGACCAAATGACGTTGAAGAGTGATGTGTTCTCATTTGCGATTTGTATGTTGGAGATATGGATTGGAAGAGACGTGTACCCACCTGACAAGTTCCCGGATTCAGAGTCAATTTTGAGGTTTGTGGGAGGCGGGAAAAGACTTGAAATTCCTCAAAACTGCATCTTTGCAAATCTCATAGAGAAGTCGTGGCAACACAAAGTCAGCATGAGACCGTCATTCAAGGAAATTTCTAAAGCACTTGAAATACTTGAAAAGAGTTTGGCTTCTTCACACAAGTCGGACTCAGACAGCTCCAGTAAGAAAAGGAAATCACTCAAACTCAGTAAAACAACATCAAAAAACACAGAAACGACAACCACGTCACAACAAGAAAGTGAGGAGCCAACACCAAGAATTACTACAGAAAAAGGTAGATTGGTGAGTGACGAGAACCAAGACGAAAGTGAAAGGTCGACTAAGAACGAAAAGGTTGAAGAACAGCAAGACAATAAACAACCTTTGCCAAATGAACTTAACAAAACAGATGATGTGAAGTCTTCTGATGATTCGTTGCAGAGTAAATCTTCAACAAAAGAAGATTAGAATGTTTGAGTTGATTGTGTTTGATTGATTAATCGTCGAGTAATTATAATAATTACTTTATAATTTATTTTAATAAAAACTAGTTTATATTTGATTAAAGTAAATAAATATTTTTATAGTAAGTAATAGTAAAAAATTAATTAAATAATTCTTCACTACAAACAACATAAGGAACCATTTTAAGAAAAATTGGGAATAATGCAAATTTCAGTCCATAAAAGCTGGAACAAAACAAGACCAGAAATTTTAAATTTCTATTCATAATTGTTCAGAAACAATTGGGAACAAACAACTCATATAGTTTATAACAATATATCATTAATGAAACTATACGAAATAGTATCATTTGTCGAAATAAGTCCATCCGTTGTTATCTCGATTTGACCAAGTGGAATAGAATTACATTTTTTGATAGTACATTTCTATCTTTTAAGTGTCAAATAGAAGGGATTTGACTTTATATATTATTAACTTCACAATTGAAGTAAATTGCCGTTTGTTTTAATTGAAGAGTGACAATAATATGCTAAAAAAGAAACTGACAAGACATTTTGCATGTTTTGTTGCTTTAAAAGGAAAACTAAAATTTAAACAAACAACAAGAATGGAAGTGATGGTCTTGGGATTTTTTGATGTGGTCAAGGCCATACTCTTCATTACAGCTCTTCTATTTATTGCACTTAATATCATCAGTTTCATATTCAGACTCTTCAGAGCTAAGGGATACAAAAGGTTTGTTGAGCTGCGCTTGAAGAGTATTCCAGCAGACCAAGTCTTCCCCATAGTGAAGCCTGAAGAGATCGCGACGATCTGTAAGACTCTCAAAGAAAGTTACAACAGTTGTGCAACACGACCATTTGAGACACGCAAACAGATATTATACGCACTTTATCGAATGCTTTACGATAACAAACAAGCTCTTGGTGACGCCATTCGAAAGGATTTGCATCGAGACAGACACTTTTCTGTTCTCGAAACTGAATCTGTCATTGAAGAAGTGGAGTATTTGATTCAAAACATGGACGCCGAATTGTCGGACAAGAGAGTGAAGTCGACTGCAGTCCAGTTGTTGGCACAGTCGTTCATCACACATGAACCATATGGAGTGGTCTGTGTCATTGCACCATGGAACTTCCCAATTAACCTGTCTTTAATTCCTGTCGCTGGTGCGCTTGCGTGTGGGAATACAGTCTTCTTAAAGCTTTCCAAGTACTCATTTAACTCTTCAAAGTTGATTGCCGAGTTGTGTGATAGATACATCCCTTCAGAGTATTTAAGATGTGAATACATGTCTGGAAGAGAGAGCATCCAAGCCTGTTGTGACGCGGACTTCGACTATTATTTCTTCACCGGCTCAACAACGGTGGGGAAATTGGTCCACCAGGCCGCAGCGAAGAAATTGGTTCCCGTCACTTTGGAACTTGGAGGAAAGAACCCCGTTATAGTCGACAAAAATGTCGACTTGAAAACTGCTGCTAAAAGGATAGCTTGGGCGAAGTGTGTGAACGGAGGTCAAATTTGTGTGTGTACGGACCATGCGTATGTCCACAAAGACATCTACGACGCATTCTGTGAAGAGGTCAAAAAGTGCTTTATTCAGTTCTTTGGGGAAGACGCACAGAAGAGTGACGACTACCCAAGAATGATCACAAAAGACGCTGCAGCCAAAATGAAAGAGATCATTGAACAGAGTGACGTGTTCTATGGAGGTAATGTAGATATCGAAGACAGATATGTTCAACCCACTTTATTGAAAAACGTCAAAATGACTGATCTGTCTATGGAAAATGAAATCTTTGGACCTATCCTCCCTATCATTAAATATGAAAATTTGGAAGAAGTCTTTGCTATGATAAAGGAACACCCAAATCCATTGGCCGCTTATGTCTTCACAAGTGACGACGCGTTCTTTGAAAAGTTTAGACTGAATGTTAACTCGGGTGCATTATATAGAAATGACGCTATCATCCATTTAATCAACGGAAATTTACCATTTGGAGGAAATTGCCAGAGTGGTATTGGATACTACCACGGCAAATTTACATTTTCAACATTCTCAAGACCACGAGCAGTGGTGCAAGCACATACCTTTATTGATGTGCCATTGAGGTATTGGCCATTTACCTATATAGCTGAAATTGCGTTCAAGTATTGTGCATTCTGGGAAATACCAATTCTATCGTATTTATAAGGCGGGGAATATTGAGATAAATTGATTCTTTTTTAAAATAAATTCTAATATATTATAATATTATAATATATTATAATTAATAAAACAACTAAAAATAAATTGCCAATAACACTTGAATAACTCTTAATTATTAATTACTAAGTTACATCAAATCATTCAAGAATTAATTAAGTAAATTTTGTTGATCATCTATTACATCATCAACCTTTTCAACACTCGAGTTGTCAACACCCCCATCCAATTCAATTTTGATATCATACCGTTTTGGCCACCAATTCCACTCACCAAACAAATGAAGAAGCGACGGCACGACCATTGTTCGGATGACAAACGTGTCAAGTAAAATTGCGAGAGCAAGTACAACTCCAAATTGTTGCAAAACCATCATAGAAGATAACATCAACGCAGAGAACGCCGCAGCCATAATAATTCCAGCGTATGTGATCAAATAACCGGTGTGTTCGACGCCAAGAATAACAGCAGACTTTGTGGAATATCCACTCTTTCTATATTCAAGTACTCGTGTGAACAAGAAGATATCATAATCCAAACAAAGTCCAACAAGAACATCAGTGCACATCACTGGCACGGACCAAAAGAGTCCATTGGACCCCGTGAAAACGCCTGCTCTGTAGAGTATAGAAGACGTGAATATCACTGTAGAGAGTCCAAAGACCCAACCAATGGTCAAAGCGGTTGTGAATATCACACGAATTCCCATTAAGAGGGACTGGAATGCGAGTGCAATTAAGAGTAAAACAATCACCATCAAACAGACTAATTGTATTGGGAAGAACCCCAAAATGTATTCGACTAATATCACCATGTCCACTTCACTCCCTACTAAGTAACTTTCTATTCCCAATTCATTGTGTAAGCCAGTCATCATGTTGAGCGTGTCGTCAACTATAGGTCGTGCGTCTGAAGTCTCCTGTGGCACAAGCATGCAAAGAAAAGATGATGAAGTAGTCGAGTAATTGTATGCTTTATAATAAAAGTCGATGTTTTGAAGTAGATGTACTTCTCTTTGTGTCAACACATTTCCATTCATGTAGTTGTAACAGAAAATGTTTTTCTTCCCAATACTCGATGGGACCCTCTCCCCAAATTTTTCCATAAAGTCATAAGACGCTTGTTGTGTTGGGTCTGATAACACTAGAAGTTTATATGGGGATATTGCCCCCGTGGGCATCACCTTCGTCAAGTCAGTGAGTCCCTGAATCGCTTCAGTGCCTTTAGGAAAACACTGCGACGACGCCAGCGTCCACATGAAATCCTTCATACAAATAATAACTGGGGCGAGTATTGCCAAAGATATGATTAGTACAACAATACTATTCTTTTTGTGACTCATCCACTTTGCTTGGAAATGCCAAAATTTGGAGCCGACTTTGTCCGAGTATCTGACACAAAATTTGCTGCACGGGATCATCCCTTTGATGCGGAAAAATTTGGGGAACATGAGTAAAAGACTTGGTGTTATAGTTAAATTCACAACGACCGTGAAAATCAAACAGATCACACACCCCAACCCTAATGTCACTATCACAGTAACTCCATAGAAACAACAGCTGAGAAAACAACAAATCAGAACAGACCCCGAAGTCGCGATAATACGACCGGAGTGCCGAAACATCGTTTTAACAGCATCAAAGTGGCTTTGGTCTTTTCTTATTTCTTCTGAATATCGACTCAAGAGAAAGAGACTGTAATCCACAGACATGGCAACTTCTAAAGCCACTGCAATAGCTGGGGCTATCGAATAAAATTCGGACCAATAGGCGATTGGAAAGAGTGAGCCGAATGATACTGAGACAATAACAATCAAATTGATGATTGGGATGATCACGAGGACTATGTTTCTAATGACATATAAGAAGATAAGAATTGCTATTGGGAAAATGAAGATGTCCATTGACTTCATATCAGCAATGATTGCTAAGTTGATGTCCATTGATGCGGCAGTTGGTCCAGTGACACTAATTCTATACCCGTCAGTGTCTAAATTTGATATTGTTTTTCGTACACTCTTAATAATGTCCTCAACACCACTAACAGGTGAAATGATCAAAATTGCAGTCGTGTCATTCACGACAAAAAAGTCGGTGAAATTGAGTTGGTGTGTTTCCTCGGTGTAAACACCCATCACTTTTGTTGCGTTGTTTGCATAAGCCGTTTCTGTGACAGCTTCACTGATTTCTTGTGTCTTATTTGTCAAAACTGTTAATCCATTCTCTCTAACTATAACAACAACCGTTGTTTCTGAGGCACTGTGTGACGGGTACAACTCGTGGTACTTGTTGTTTGCTGTTTCTGAGAGGGAGCCTTTTGGTGGAGTGAATTGAACTGTTGTGTATGAGAACAAAGTAAGTGCAAAATACGCTGTTGCTATGGCAAGTAGTATCCAGAAAACTACAATAAACCACTTGCACTTACTTATAACCAGAAATAATGTATCAAATATTTTTTCCTTAAACGCTTCGAAATGAGCGTTGAACGACTTAAGCTTTTCTCCCATGTTTCTATTGTTTTTTTGTTCTCATCAATAGTAAAAAATGTCGAATTTTGTTATCATTTTTGGTGATATTAGAGTCATATTATTATAGTATTTTATTATTTTTTGCTTATTAACATTTTGAATTGTCGATTGTCTTTTCAAAAAGTATTATGTTTTAAACGGCAATTGGAGTTCAAATGTTTTTTGTTTTTTAAACTATTTTTTATTAACCCTTTTATATTTTTGAACAATATTAAAAAGTCTTTAAGTTTTATATTTTGGTGGATTTTTTCAAAATTTCATGAAGAATTAGTGTCTGTGTTTAGACAAATCCTATATTATAGTAATATTAATATACTTAATTATAATACATTAAAATTTACTACATTATATATAATATATATAATATTATATTTATTATAACACTATAAATGTTATATAAAACATTTATTGAATTAATACTAAAGGTCTTAATGCTATGGAACTCGAAAAAGTATGAGCAAGTCCCTGACCCCTGAGGAAATTCAACGCCAGCAACGCTTTAATCGTCACCAATCAAATTTATTCAGCGACGCATGCAAAGACTATGAAAGAAAAGATTACAATGGCGCGTTACTAAAATGCGAGAAAATATTGAGCTCATTACCAGAAAATGGGGAGGCTCTTTCTATGAAGAACTTGGCGAAGTATTTCAAGAGGGAGCAGAGTGGAGCTGACACGATGAAGGGTATCAAAAACGCACTGAAAAACAATTTGAGAAGTCCGACGATATGGCACTTGTATGGGATTGTAGCCAGAGAGCAGAAGGACTATGTCGAGTCACTGAAGGCGTTTAAAACGATGAACAATATTGATGGAAAAAGTTTAGCATTAAAAAGAGACTTGTTCTGCCTCCAAATTCAGAACAGAGACTTTTTGGGTGCTGTTGACACCATCGACCAAATGATTGTGTTGAGAAAAGACTATCAAAACAATTTTATTTGCAAGGCAGTTGCATCTTTCATGGGCGGTCAAAACGACAAGGCGCTCAATGCGCTGGACTATTTCTTACTCCATTACAGTGATAACAGCGACAAAGTGAGGTACAACGACTTACTGATGTTTAAAATACAAATATTGATGAAGGGGAAATTGTATAATGCAGTCTTGGACTTTATTAAAACAAACACAGACAATTTATTGGAAGGAATTAAAGCGAAAGAGTATGTGGCAACGTGTTTGACTGAACTTGGGAAGAAGCAAGAGGCACTCGACATGTTAGAAACACTGTTAAAAATTAACAAAAACAATACCACATACCACGAACTTGTTTTAAAAAATTTGAATATAACAAATGCACTTGAAATGACTCCAGAGCAATTTGATGTGTTCAAAAAGTTCAATGAAAAATTGTGCATTGGAGACACTTTGTATGGCACAACGGAAACACTTTGTTATCAACAATATGACGAAGTGTTTGAACAAGACATCACAAAATTCATTGTAAAACTTCTTGAAAATTCAAGAATCAATGTATTCAAAATTTTGAGTCCACTTTTCAATAAAAATACAAGCAGAAATCATGCAGAAAAAAGAACCTTTGTCGAAAATTCATTTTTGAGAATTGCAGAGGCGTTGAAGAACTGCACGTCGTACAAGACACTTTCAGCTAAGTTCATTCAACAACACCATATACCTATAATACAGGCACGTATCGTCTTCTTACTGAAAGGTGGAAAGACTGAGGAAGCGCTTGCATATGCCACAGCCATTGACGAAACGGAGTTTAACCTCAAATATTACTACCTTGCAAAGTGTCATATGAAGTTGGGGCAGTTCCCTTTGGCATTGCGGGAGATCAAAACTGCTTTTGACCTTAATCCAAACGACAGATTTTTCTATAACAAAGCAATTAAATACGCACTGATTGCTGGCGACATAACTAAAGCTGAAAACTTAAGTAAGACAAAGGACAACAGCGAGGAAGATTTAAAGACTGAATCATTGATATTTACACTCCGATTTGCAGAGGCCTATTTGAAGAGTGGGAATAAAGACCTTGCGAGGAAAAGGGCGCTTATGATACTTCAGAAGTTCGACAAGGGTGTGACCGATATGTTTGAATTCCATTTGTATGTGTATGAAAAACTGAGCATTTGCGCGTACCTCGACCTCATGGATAACAATATGAAATACCAGGACTCCGATATCAAGAAAAAAGCTCTTGAAATAGTTCAACAGACACAGGAGATTTGACCAAAGTCACACACTAACATTTCTTTTTTTGTCCATTCCTTTACATTTTAATAGATAATAAATAACATTTATATATTACTAAGTGTGTATTAAAATTTATCAATTCTTAGAGTTTCAGAGAAGAATAAAGAACTGAGAAAAGCACTTTTATCAACACCCCAAAATCTTTAAACTATTGGAAATTCAATTCAAATAGTGGAAACGCCAAATTTGGGTACAAATAAAAATGAAAAAATTAATAAAAAATCAGAAATAAACAACAAAGAAACTATCAATTAAAAAGTTCTTAACAACCAAAAATAATTGAACAAACACCATCCCACGTCACACGCGGCAGAAAACGAGTCGAAACTCATAATGTTCATTCAATGCCAAAGTGCACTCTGTGTAACAAAGAGGTGTATCCAGCCGAATCAATGAACAGAGACGGAAAAATTTTCCACAGCAGATGTTTCAACCTTTGGAAGAAACAACAACAACTCGAGCAGAAGCACAAACAAGAGTACTACAAGACTCCAGAAGTTCGCCCTCAGTATTTCAGAGTTGCAGATCCCTCGACTGGTAAGCCAGAGGCTATGGTTGCTGGTGTGGACGACGAGGAAAACATGAAAAAGATTAACCAAGAGGAGAATGAGTTTTTAGAAAAAATGCACAAGATGCAAGAGACTAATGGAGCCAATCCGTTCCATTAAATCTTTGTGTCTGTTTCTTCTCTAATTTTTTTTTTCGCAAATTTGTGGTTTTTTGAGTTTATCCACACTCTTTATTTTTAATTTGATTTATATGGTAAGTCAGTGGAAGACTAGAACCAGTTCTTAAACATTATCTAGTGGACAAAAAATAGCTTCAATTTTGTTTAAACATCTGCATTAAATAAAACGTGGAAAAACTTAAAACAATTGGGATGGGGTTTTGGGACTGTTTCCCGAAATATTCCAATTTTATGGTCCAAAAGTAACCAGATAATGTTAAAAACCATCCTGTATAAAATTATAGTAATAACGTTTGTATCATAAAAAATTTTACTCAATAATACAACTTTATATAATTTATATATATTATTATAATAATAAAGTTTGCGTTTATTTTGTTTGTAGTAGTTAGTTTATAGTAATGTTTATAGGCGCTGCTTTTCACTTAATCTTCACGACATTAAATTTTAAATGATAGAACATAGAGGTTCGCGGTTATTAACTTTATGTTAATAACTTTTAACTTTAACTGAAATTAAAATTGTTTTTTGAATTTAATAAAAATGTTATAGAGATGGTCAAACATAATTGCGTTTTGTAAAATTTTGTAGCAATACAAATTCTAATAAAAGTGGTAAAACAAAAAATATAAAATACAATAAACTTTAAATGATATTTTAAAAACATGTTGTTCAAATAAAATAATAAATAATTCCCAAAAATGTTTATTTAATATACACAATGTTTTAAATATATTCATGACAAAATTAACAAAATCATAATTTCCAAACTTTGCAAACAAAAATCAGATGGTATATATTTCACAAATAATTCACTTTAAATTAAACAAGAATGATTAATAAATTCAAAAATATGTAAAAAAATTATAATTTATTGATTTTTTAAATTTTATAAATACCATGATAAAACAAAATGTGAAAAATAATCAAAATATAAGGTTGAATAAAAAATGCCAATTATTATTTAAAATGGTATATTAATTATTCGAACATTTTTGTAATAAAATATAATAGTTGACCATTAGATTATTAAATTTTTGAATATGCACATGTTTATATGTACTTCTTTTAAATACATGTACTCAAAATCATGTGAATTTTTTAAATAACATGTAAACTGGAAACCACAAATTGGTATTACCATAGAATACCGAACCCTAATAACCCCAATTATTTAATGTATTTATATACCATTGTTACTCTTTTTTTCTTATCTCACTACCACTTTATTTTTTTAAAAAATTATTTATTACTTTAAAGAAAAATACTTTAAAATAAAAGAAATAATTACCTAAAAGCACTAAAATATTTATGTGAATAAAGCGGTTTAGATAAAGTTGTTAATTCAGTTATTATAGCAAATAACCAATGAATCGCCCATCATTCTCGATACAAAGATCGAAACGTTTTTGCATTGAATCGATAAGGTTGTTGATGGTTTCATAAGATATGGAATTCACACGACATTTAGTTCATTTCAAGTTCTTTTAAATTTTAAAAGCACTCTTCTTTGTTCTCAAACGCATTTCCATTATACTCCACAAATGCTCGATCGGATTCAAATCTGGCGAGTATGGCGGCCAATTTTTTATTACTCTGATGCCATTTTCTTCAAACCATTCGCTTGTATACTTGGCTGTATTGCACGGAGCTCCATCCTGCATGAAATAGAATCTCTTGCCATAGACTTTCTTAGCTTCTTCAAAAACCCCATTGTCTTTTAACATTTGAACATAACCTTCTTTGTTCATTTTACCTTGACAAAAAGACAGTTTGGTTTTGAAATTCTTACCAATACCTCCCCATACCATAGTAGAAACATTGTATTTCGCACAATCAACAAAGGACTCTTCTGGGTGTTCTCCTTTTTTCCTCCAAATGTACCGTCCATCCGACAACAAACAAAAGCGACTTTCGTCTGTGAATATTGTCCTTGTTGTCCATTTTTTGAATGCATCAACTTTCGAACGTTTTTCGGTCTGTTTTTTACAAAAATCAAGTCGCTTTTTAAAATGAATTGGTTTCATATACGGTCTACTTGTTTGTTTGGTAAAAATAAATCCTTCTTTGTGTCTGGTTCTGTTGACTGTTGATGCACTGCCTTTTACTTCTTTTCCGACTTTTTTCGAAGATGAAAAAACGTCATTTAAAGTTAGATCTGTAACTTTCTGTGTGAATTCTTTATCGAATTTTGTCCGTCTTCCTCTTTTATGTAATACCACTGGTTTGTCTTGTTGAATATCTTTTTTTAAAGAAGAAATGTCACGAAAAAACATGAAAAACATGTCTTTAACTTCCATGTATGTCATCCCTTTTAAAAGCGCTTTTCTCGCTCCTTCAATTTTTTGCAATCGATATTTTTCTGAATCTGTCATGATATTTAAATATTTTTTTAGTTTCGTAAAAATTCTAGTAATTAACATTATTTCAATTTCTGTCTTAAAAAACGCGTCTTCTCTTGTAAATTTTAATAATTTTGATAATTTGCTTTAAAGAAAGCGCTGAATTATACAAAGAAAAATAACATTTTTTTGAAATTTACTATTAAAAATAATAAAATAATATTAAAAAATAATTTACTACCACATTATGATTTTCAGTTTATATTATGAAGTCATATTTATATGTCACAATACTTTTTTAAAAAAAGAGTGATACACAAAATTTTTGTGTTTTAAAGATGTCGATTTAAGCACAAAACGAGATGATATTTGTATAATTATAAATAACAATCAAAAACAAAAGTTTGTTAGAATTGTAGTTTGAAAATACATATACAAATTTAAATAAAATTTTTAAATTGTAAATGCTAAAAACAATGAAAAATATAGTGGTTCATTAATGCCTGAGTTATAAAAAACATACTTTGACTTATTTTATTAAGAATCCAAATTATTTTAGAAAATAATTTCATTTGTTTAAATAGTTTAACAAACAAAAACACAAGTGATAATATATTGTTTTAAATGTGTGCAGAGATGATAAAACGCGTCTAAAAAGTTTGTATGATTTGATAAATACAAGTAGTATTTTAATAAAATCTTATTGATTAATCTTATTAGTTTATTGATCGAATAATTATAGTTTATAAATATTTAAAATATGTTCAGTTCGTGATTTGATAAACTGATAAACAAATAAACATTGAATTAAAATACGGTTTTATTACAAAAATAACACATAAATACTATTAGATGAAACTAAAATTTTATTTTGTTAATAATAAAAGTTTAAACTCGAATTTCAAAACAATTGTAAATTAATTACTTATCATAGCAATGATGATATCATATTGTTTTTTCCATACTCATGGAGAAAAACGAGTTGTTCCAAATGAATTGGTATTAATGTTGAACGACGTGGAGTATGTACTAAAGAACATTCTGAAAACAATCGCTCTGAAGATGAAGAAGATGCAAGCAAACATAAATATTTTGGTACAAGTTTGCTAATAAGAGGATAATCACAACTGTGTTCTTTCCACCATTCCAGTGGATTGAAAAATGATTTTTTATCAACAAATCCCGCATTCAACTATTTTTCAACTTCTTTTATAACAAGTTGTCGGATATCAGTTAGATCGGGTATCCCCTCTATTTCAGAAGTGAAATCAATATCAACATCTTTCTTTTCAACATTATTCTTACCATTTTCGACTTCTTCTGAATTGACTAGAATGACTTCATCAATAAATAGATTCATGTATTCTATTTCTACAAATTCAATTTCAAATCCAGTACACTCAATAACATATTCACCAAATTTTCTATTTTTATAATGAGGATTAAGCAATGATGAAATAATATAATTTACATCTTTTCTGATAGACAATTCTCCATGAAAATAACGATCAATGATTTCTTGAACTAATACATTAATTATTTTTTTCTTTGCAGCACAAGGACTTTCCACATTAATTTGTTCTGTTTCCAAATCAAATATATTATCCAAATCTTCAAGTTGTTCAAAGTTGTTTATTTTGTCGTTTCCAATGGATACTTGATGTTGAAAAGTCGTTGTTGTATCGTCGACGTTACCAGGAATAGAGTCATACTTTATAGATAACAAAGATAACAGTTTTAATATTGAATAATGTATAATAGATAGTGTTGGATATGTGTCTGAAGAAAATCGATTTATTAAAAAAAATAGATATTTAAGAACATCAATATAATTCTTTATGTCTTCTATGTCTTCGTCTGTAATATAATAAGTGGATATAAATATTTCTCGTTTGTTTGGGTTCGTTATTTTGGTTTGTTTTTTCTTTATCGCAACGTTCAAATATTTTACAATTATTAATATTCTGTTAACCATTAAATAATCACCAAACCATCTTGTTTCAACTGGTTTCACAATTCGAAGTGGTGATTTACCATCAATTGTTTGTGCTTCTTCAAGCCAATTTTTCATTTGTATACTTTTGCTAAAAAGATTAACTACTCTATGGAGCTTTACTAGAAGTAAGTTGTATCTTTTTACTTCTCTTGTGGATCTCTCTGCTATTAGACTAAATGTATGACAAGAACAACCAATAGATGTCTTTCCTGAATCTTTGACTGCTTTAATTTGATTGGCAGCGTTATCAGTAATAACAACAAAATTATCTTTTAAATTCCAAGTTTCGAAGAACACTTCCAAATTGTGTTGGATGTTTGCAGATGTTTTGTATCCTTCAATTTGTGCTATTTCTAACAATACGTTATTTAAGGTGTAATATTTGTCAACATAATGCAAAGTTAGAGACATAAACTCTTCTTCACACATGTATGTGCTCCAACCATCACTTGTTGTACAAAAGAATAGTGCTTCATTACGCATGTTTTTGACATTAAGTTTGGCAGCATCAAATAATTTTGGAATTACTGTCCGTGCTAATTTGTCTGGTGTAAGTTTTGGTTCATTTAAGTTTGTATGGGACATCAATTCCAAAAAAGAACGACTTGTTGTGTGTTCGTATGGCAAGTTTGAGTTAATGAT